CCTTTCACACTTCTCATTGTCTTAGACTTCCCATAGAAAACATGAATCTTCATAATATTATTGCAGAGCTGCTGTAACATGTTGCGGTTGCTAACTGGCCTGTGTTATATGAGTGGCTTGCGAAAGTATTCACCCCCCTTGGCATTTTTCCTATTTTGTTGCCTTACAGCCTGGAATTAAAATTGATTTTTTTGGGGGGTTTTGTGTCATTTGATTTACACAACATGCCTACCACTTTGAAGATGCAAAATATTTTTTCTTGTGTAACAACTTCAGCGTGCATAACTATTCAACCCCCCAAAGTCAATACTTTGTAGAGCCACCTTTTGCCGCAATTACAGCTGCAAGTCTCTTGGGGTATGTCTCTATAAGCTTGGCACATCTAGCCACTGGGATTTTTGCCCATTCTTCAAGGCAAAACTGCTCCAGCTCCTTCAAGTTGGATGGGTTCCGCTGGTGTACAGCAATCTTTAAGTCATACCACAGATTCTCAATTGGATTGAGGTCTGGGCTTTGACTAGGCCATTCCAAGACATTTAAATGTTTCCCCTTAAACCACTCTAGTGTTGCTTTAGCAGTATGCTTAGGGTCATTGTCCTGCTGGAAGGTGAACCTCCGTCCCAGTCTCAAATCTCTGGAAGACTGAAACAGGCTTCCCTCAAGAATTTCCCTGTATTTAGCGCCATCCATCATTCCTTCAATTCTGACCAGTTTCCCAGTCCCTGCCGATGAAAAACATCCCCACAGCATGATTCTGCCACCACCATGCTTCACTGTGGGGATGGTGTTCTCGGGGTGATGAGAAGTGTTGGGTTTGCGCCAGACATAGTGTTTTCCTTGATGGCCAAAAGCTCAATTTTAGTCTCATCTGACCAGAGTACCTTCTTCTATATGTTTGGGGAGTCTCCCACATGCCTTTAGGTGAACACCAAACGTGTTTGCTTATTTTGTTCTTTAAGCAATGGCTTTTTTTTGGCCACTCTTCCGTATTGCCCAGCTCTGTAGAGTGTATGGCTTAAAGTGGTCCTATGGACAGATACTCCAATCTCCGCTGTGGAGCAGGGTTATCTTTTGTCACTTTGTTGCCTCTTATCAATGCCCTCCTTACCTGGTCCGTGAGTTTTGGTGGGCGGCCCTCTCTTGGCAAGTTTGTTGTGGTGCCATATTCTTTCAATTTTTTAAATAATGGATTTAATGGTGCTCCGTGGGATGTTAAAAGTTTCTGATATTTTTTTATAACCCAACCCTGATCTGTACTTCACAACGTTGTCCCTGACCTGTTTGGAGAACTCCTTGGTCTTCATTGTGCCGCTTGCTTGGTGGTGTCCCTTGCTTAGTGGTGTTGCAGACTCTGGGGCCTTTCAGAACAGGTGTATATATACTGAGATCATGTGACACTTAGATTGCACACAGGTGGACTTTATTTAATTGATTATGTGACCTCTGAAGGTAATTGATTGCACCAGATCTTATTTAGAGGCTTCATAGCAAAGGGGGTGAATACATATGCATGTGCCACTTTTCTGTTATTTATTTGTTAGAATTTTTTGAAACAAGTTATTTTTTTCATTTCACTTCATCAATTTGGACTATTTTGTGTATGTCCATTACATGAAATCCAAATAAAACCCCATTTAAATTACGGGTTGTAATGCAACAAAATAGGAAAAAAGCCAAGGGGGATGAATACTGCAATGGCTAGAAATGTGAGAAGAGCAAGTCCGTCTCCTGCAGAGTACAGGCACATATCTCTGAGTCCAGGGAATGAACTCACACCAGCATTCATTCCAACAAGAGTTGTCATTTTATTGTCGACTAAATCGGAGCTTACAGGGAAGACAATTGTATTGCAGAGACAGAATCGGACACGAGTTCTAGAGCTGTGTTCCCCTACTCACTAAAACTCCACTAAATTCACGATGCCGCGTCAAAATATGTCACTGGACAAGAAAAACAAAGAACTCCGTTACACAACTTCCAACACATTACATCATGATAGATTTGCAGAAACCAACTCATCTGTTGTCTACAGCAGTGGTCTCCAACCCAGGTTCCAGCCTTCAGTCTTGATGATTAGATGAATCGGGGTGTGTTAGTGCTGGGCTAGAACAAAACCATGCACACTTAGTGGGTCCCCAGGACCAGGTTTGGTGACCACTAGCCTCTAGTTAGAGAAACAACTCCAGCCCTACAGCCCTCTGCATTGGGACTGGAAGTTGTTTTGAGTCCGAACACAAGGTCATAGGTTGTCACTAGGTGTAGTAATCACTGACACTGATTCACCCTTGGGTGGATAAGGTGAGGATTTGAATGGCAACTTCTACCCGGGGCGTGGTCGAATTCAACAATACTTCAACTGGCTACAAACTGTACTGAACAGTTCGTTGTTGGAAGATGCCAGACGAAAGAGGAAAGTAACTTCACTGACTGTTATTCAACATTCATACACCCAAGTGTGAACAACATAATACTACCGCTTGTGACAGCAAAACAGAAAAATAGTTTTTCCACAGTTGTTTTCCAGCACATACAGATTCATGCAAATATGTCCGGAAATCACAACACACATGTTTTTTTGTATCATTTTTTTTTCTATCTTATTTCGGACTTTACAATGACTCATTAAATCACTCTTTTCTTGTGACGTTTTGCTTGGCAATGAAGTGAGAAATCATCTCCAGATTTCCCTTGCAACTTCTCAAGACGTGAGAATTTAGAAGCTACCGACACACCTGATCAGAAAATGCATTATTATGGGATCCAGAAAGTCTCCATATACTGTAGATACAGATACATTTCATATTGTAGCTCAATAGCTCTGGATCCTAGATATTATTGGTGAGATGGAAACAGCATCAACGGCCTACAAACACAACACATTGAATCAAAACTAGCCGTTGCTATTGTTCTGTCTGGTTTCTAGCCCTAAGATGTCATGAGAGGTCACAACAATATTCCCACCGGGATATAATGCAAGAAATTGTGCTACAGCAAAATTCCACATCACAACAATCTTGACATAACTTTTTTGTAAAGCCAGTTCAAATTTTCCATAAAGATATGTTTTAGTTACTTGTCATGCAATTTTTTTTAAAAATTCGATGGTGTACATCTTCACTGTATTTTTCAGCTTGAATTTAAATGTCGAAATAATAATCAAAACTCCAAACAATACACCATTCATCAACATCAAGACATTTAAAACAAAACAACAATCAAATTAATTGACTAAAATGTGTAAAAATATATTTTTCTGCCATGAAGTAGATACGTGTCTGTTAAGGGGTCAGGGATAAAGTGTTGGACATCATTAACAGCTATCTGTCTGTTTCCAGACAGGAGGCTCTGGGACATCTTGGCTTGCTGCCAACGGCAGAATAAAGTTATCTGTAAAATTATTATAAATTATTATAAATTAATGCCTTACTCTTCTCCATCTGGTGGCTTCGAAATCTTTTTTATATTGTATAAAATATTTTTTATATTTTTATTTATCTTTGCAATATTAATGTCTACCACATCATCGGACTAGATCTAAATGATAAACTGAAGAAAGAATACTCCATGCAACAACTACTATTAAATGCAGTGATTTTACAAGATCCAGCTGTTGCAACAGTATTAATTTTCCTGTTCAAAAAGTGTTGCAGACGACCAAGTAGAAATTTGGCACTAGAGCACGTGTCAAACTCATTCCACGGAGGGCCGAGTGTCTGCGGGATTTAGCTCCTCCCTTGTACTTGATTGATGAATGAAAGTCACTAATTAGTAAGTGACTCCCCTCACTTGGTTGTCTAGGTCTTAATTGAAAGGAAAAACCAAAAACCCGCAGACACTCGGTCCTCCGTGGAATGAGTTTGACACCGCTGCACTAGAGCGTCCAGAAACCTTTACTGAAATTAGTCAAACAGAAAACTCCTAAAGCAAATTTTCAAAATCAATAGAAAAAATGGAATCTGGATATTTAGGATTTAAGTAAATAAAGTAACTCCAAAGGCAAATAAAAATCCACCTAATCATATTTCCCATCCATACACATGGAACATACAGTGATATACTGTACACACTTACACACACACACACACACACCTACACACGTACTGTACACACAGACACACACACACACACACACACACACACACACACACACACACCTACACACGTACTGTACACACATACACACCTACACACGTACTGTACACACATACATACTTTGTACCAGAGTTCACATTGCATTACAGTAAACATAAAACTGCTGTTCATTTTGAGGTTATTCTTTCATTGAGGAACATTTTACAAGGTATTTCTATCAGCTTAAAAAATACTAACCAAAAGAACATCATCTCTTCATCTCTTGGCTTTGCCATAAATGGTTCCTCCGTGTCACTTCTGTAGTCGTGTTTTTGCTCAATTCACCCTCGGTTTCAGTCTTTTTGGGGGAAATATATTGCTTTAAGAAATACATTTTGGTCTTCATCTGAGACTCTGAATACCAGCATTTCATATCACAATGTGTTTTTCAACCTCTCTTTCCATGTCTTGCCCGTCCGTCTGTCTGTCTATCTGTTGGTTGGCTGATCGTTCAGTATGTTGTTCATTGAGTATTTGCAGTCTCTAGAAAGATTTGTTGTGTCTGTAGAATGACTGATCTCTGACTGGATCATTATACCCCAACGGGAATCATCAGGATCCAGTTGATCCCTTTTCTCTTTTGCAAAATGTTAATTCATTCGTTCTTTAAAGGTCCTTCCTTTTGACCCCGTTCTCCCCCCCCCCCCCCCCCCCCCCCCAAAAAAAAATGGTAAGGATAATAACATGTCATTTTTCCTGTGTATGAGTATACAGTACTTAATGTGTATGAGAGTGTGTGAGTATGTGTATGTGTGGATATGTGTGTGTGTATATGAGTGTAGGCATCTGTATGTGTACCGTTTACAGTATCTCAGTCCTTCCCAGGCTCGTCACACACCTCAGACACAGATCTCTATAGGCGTGGCCACCAGTATGTGTCCGGGGGGCTGGTCGCTGTTGCTGTCTCTGGGCATGCGGTCAAAGCTGTTGGTAGACGGCCCAGAGCTGGAAACAGACACAAAATGGTGTCCTCCACCCGACTGCATCATCCCTGCCTTCGTCCCCCCAGTCCCCCTCTCCACAGACACCGGAGGAGACAGAGTCTGCTGTTTCATCCTCTCCACCAGCATCTCCTCCTCCTCTTCTCCCGACAAGGACGACGTACTGCTCCCGTCCCCCTCCACCCTCACCCCTCCTCCTCCTCCTCCTCCTCTCTCCCTCTCTCTCTCTCCGCCCCCTCCTCCGTTCCCGTTGCTGTCTCCATCCAGCATCCAACTGTGGCTGAAGTAGCCAAACACCTCTTTGACGGAGCAGCGTCTGTCCTGCTCCACAGAGAGGAGCCTGCGGAACATGCGGAGGGCCTGCTCAGTGAAGCGGCGCCACTGCGAGGGCACGGTGCCCGTGCGCCGTCTCTGCCAGCGAGTGAACTCCTGGTAGAAGGAGTCGGAGGGCAGGGCCTTCTCCCAGGGGAAGTTACCGGTCAGCATGCAGAAGAGGAGGACGCCAAAGGCCCACACATCCGTGCTGTAGTCCACGCAGAAGCCCTCGTGGCGAGACGTGTCGCACAGCTCCGGAGCCGTGTAAGGGATGGTACCGCTCACCTGGGAGGAGAGGAATAAATAATATTTGTTAATTGATTAGGAAGATTTCATTCTTCATTTAAGTTGGCTCCCATGAGGTCTGGTCTCTTTTATGGCATACTTGGTGGGTTCTGCATCTCAAACTATTTCTCATACAGTTCACCACTTTTGTTTTTTTAAAATAAAGTTTGTTGTGATTTGACCTCTAGCCACTCACCCGTTTGACCGGTGAGCCAGCGCGGCGCGTCATGCCGAAGTCGGACAGTTTGACCTTGCGGCATTCGCGGTCAAAGATGAGGATGTTCTCAGGCTTGATGTCACGGTGCACCAACTTCTTACAGTGAAGGTAGTCCAGGGCAATGGAAACCTGGTGCACACAGCGCTTAGCAACCGTCTCCGGGAGACCCACCTGGATGGAGAGGGGCAGAGATTAGGAAACAAAATAAACCTCAAAGATGTCTGTAATGACAACCACTGTAAACGTGCTATGAAGCATTCTTCAATGTGACATTAGCTATTATAAACTGTCATTGCACATTATTTAGAGCAGTAATGGTTAAAATAACCCTACATAGCCATTACAACAGAACATCCCAAATATGCATCCCTGTCTCTCTCTCGTACCTGTGGAGGGATGATGTCGAAGAGGTCCCCAGCCAGGGCATACTCCTGGGCAAACACGTAGTAATCGTCAGTCTCGAAGGCGATCCCAAACATGTTAATGATAAAGGGACAGGGAGAAAGGTAGAGAGAGATGCTGTACTCCCTCAGGAACGACTTCAGCTTGGTTGTCTTCTTCCTCAGGAACTTCAGGGCCATCTTGGTGCCTGAGGGGAAAACAACATGGGAGTGATGAATGATTATAGTGGTTGATCATGTAATTCTGCAGATAATCCTGCAGAGCTGGACCAGTGAATGATCCTGTTAAATGTGTGCATCCTCAAGATCAAGTCTAGTGTGTGTGTGTGTGTGTGTGTGTGTGTGTGTGTGTCCTCCTCACCTCTGATCTTGTGTATGACCAGGTCCACCTTGCCGTAAGTGCCCTTGCCAAGCTCCCTGATAACATCATAGTACTTGTTGACCTCTAACCTCTCCAGGTTCTGTGCTGCGATCAGCTGCAGCTCCTCCAGAATGTCCATGTTTCCACGGGAACCCAGCGGAGAAGAACTCATACTGAGGACCGGGTTAGGGGGTGGACCGGGGGATAGGGTTAGGGGACGGACAAGAACAGGGGACAGGTTTAGGGGACGGACTCACAGGCAGGACAGGAGTGGTGTAACTGGAGAGAAGAACAGAGAAATAGAAACGGGCAGACATTTTGTTAGTGGAAAGGTAAAAGTCAACATACAGACATTTTGTTAGTGGAAAGGTAAAAGTCAACATACAGACATTTTGTTAGTCGAAAGGTAAAAGTCAACATACAGACATTTTGTTAGTGGAAAGGTAAAAGTCAACATACAGACATTTTGTTAGTGGAAAGGTAAAAGTCAACATACAGACATTTTGTTAGTGGAAAGGTAAAAGTCAACATACAGACATTTTGTTAGTGGAAAGGTAAAAGTCAACATACAGACATTTTGTTAGTGGAAAGGTAAAAGTCAACATACAGACATTTTGTTAGTGGAAAGGTAAAAGTCAACATACAGACATTTTGTTAGTGGAAAGGTAAAAGTCAACATACAGACATTTTGTTAGTGGAAAGGTAAAAGTCAACATACAGACATTTTGTTAGTGGAAAGGTAAAAGTCAACATACAGACATTTTGTTAGTGGAAAGGTTAAAGTAAACATACAGACATTTAACAACCAATACTAAAACATTTGAACTCTTCTTCGTGTCTCTAATGTGTGTCCAATGAATAAATATTGAACAAAAAAACTGAAAAGCTACAGAAGCAAACAAACACACACCAGCCTATCTCCAACCTACTGCAGTGTGATTATTCTCACAGAGGAAATTGTTATTTTCAAAACTACAGCATTTACGATCCAGAACACTCTGACCTATTCCTTCGACTATAGGTTCACACACATGCAGACACACACACTCACACACTCACACACACACATTGCATAACTCTGAATGCCATAAAAGAAGCAGGCTTTATGTTACCTCTGATCAATAATACTATGGAGCATTTAAACACTGATCGACACTTACACTACAGTGCATTCGGAAAGTATTCAGACCCCTTCCCTTTTCCCACATTTTGTTACGTTACAGCCTTATTCTAAAATTGATTGAATTAATGTTTTTCCTCATCAATCTACACACAATACCCCATAATGACAAAGCGAAAACAGGTTTTTAGACATTTTAGCAAATGTATTAAAAATAAAAAACAGAAATACCTTATTTACATAAGTATTCAGACACTTTGCTATGAGACTCGAAATTTAGCTCAGGTGCATCCTGTTTCCATTGATCATCCTTGAGTTTCTATAACTTGATTCGAGTCCACCCGTGGTAAATTCAATTGATCGACATGATTTGGAAAAGCACACACCTGTCTATATAAGGTCCCACAGTTGACAGTGCATGTCAGAGCACAAACCAAGCCAGTTTGAAGGAATTGTCCGTAGAGCTCCGAGACAGGATTGTGCCGAGGCACAGATCTGGGGAAGGGTACCAAAAACGTTCTGCAGCATTGAAGGTCCCCAAGAACACAGTGGCCTTCATAATTCTTAAATTGAAGAAGTTTGGAACCACCAAGACTCTTCCTAGAGCTGGCCGCCTGGCCAAACTGAGCAATCGGGGGAGAAGGGCCATGGTCAGGGAGCTGACCAAGAACCCGATGGTCACTCTGACAGAGCTCCAGAGTTCCTTTGTGGAGATGGGAGAACCTTCCAGAAGGACAACCATCTCTGCAGCACTCCACCAATCAGGCCTTTAAGGTAGAGTGGCTGGACGGAAGCCACTCTTCAGTAAAAGGCACATGACAGCCTGCTTGGAGTTTTTCAAAAGGCACTTAAAGGACTCTCAGACCATGAGAAACAAGATTCTCTGGTCTGATGAAACCAAGATTGAACTCTTTGGCCTGAATGCCAAACGTCACGTCTGGAGGAAACCTGGCACCATCCCTACAGTGAAAGATGGGGGTGGCAGCATCATGCTGTGGGGATGTTTTTCAGTGGCAGGGACTGAGAGACTCTTCAGGATCGAGGGAAAGATGACCAGAGCAAAGTACAGAGATGGCTGTTTAACAGGCCATCAGACTGTTAAACAGCCATCACTAGCACATTAGAGGCTGCTGCCTATAGACATTGACACACATAGACTAGAAATCACTGGCCACTTTAAGAAATGGAACACTAGCCACTTTAATCATGTTTACATATCCTGCACTACTCATCCCATAGGTGGCAGCATCCTGCTGTAGGGATGTTTCTCAGCTGCAGGGACTGGTCTGGATCGAGGGAAAGATGAGTGGAGTGGAGTGCAAAGTACAGAGAGACCCTTGATGAAAACCTGCTCCAGAGTACTCAGGACCTCAGACTGGGGTGAAGGTTCACCTTCCAACAGGACAACGACCCTAAGCACACAGCCAAGACAACGCAGGAGAGGATTCGGGACAAGTCTCTGAATGCCCTTGAGTGGCCCAGCCAGAGCCCGGACTTGAACCCTATCGAACATCTCTGGAGAGACCTGAAAATAGCTGTGCAGCGACGCTCCCCATCCAACCTGACAGAGCTTGAGAGGATCTGCAGAGAAGAATGGGAGAAACTCCCCAAATACAGGTGTGCCAAGCTTGTAGTGTCATACCCAAGAAGACTCGAGGCTGTAATCGCTGCCAAAGGTGCTTCAACAAAGTACTGAGTAAAGGGTCTGAATACTTATGTAAATGTGATTTAAAAAACAAACATTGTATACATTTGATAAAATTTCTAAAAAACTGTTTTTGCTTTGTCATTATGGGGTATTGTGTGTAGATTGATGAGAAAAACAACAATTTAAGGAATTTTAGAATAAGGCTGTAACATAACAAAATGTGGAAAAAGTCAAGGTGTCTGAAAAATTTCCGAATGCACTGTACATATTCAAAAGTATGTGGACACCCCTTCAAATTAGTGGATTCGGCTATTTCAGCCACAGCCATTGCTGATAGGTGGATAAAATCGAGCACACAGCCATGCAATCTCCATTGACAAACATTGGCAGTAGAATGGCATTACTGAAGAGCTCAGTGACTTTCAACATGGCACCGTCATAGGATGCCACCTTTCCAACGAGTCAGTTCGTCGAATGTCTGCCCTGCTAGAGCTGCCCCGGTCAACTGTAAGTGCTGTTATTATGAAGTGGAAACGTCTAGGAGCAACAATGGCTCAGCTGCGAAGTGGTAGGCCACACAAGCTCACAGAACCGCAGAGTGCTGAAGTGCGTAAAAATCGTCTGTCCTCGATTGCAACACTCACTACTGAGTTCCAAACTGCCTCTGGAAGCAATGTCAGCACATAACTGTTCATCCGGAACTTCATGAAATGGGTTTCAATGGCCGAGGAGCCACACACAAGCCTAAGATAACCATGCGCAATGCCAAGCATCGGCTGGAGTGGTGTAAAGCTCGCCGCCATTGGACAGTATAAACGTGTTCTCTGAAGTGATGAATCACGCTTCACCATCTGGCAGTCCGACGGATGAATCTAGGTTTGGCGGATGCCAGGAGAACACTACCTGCCCCAATGCATAGTGCCAACTGTAAAGTTTGGTGGAGGACCAATAATGGTCTTGGGCTGTTTTTCATAGTTCGGGCTAGGCCCCTTAGTTCCAGTGAAGGGAAATCTTAACGCTACAGCATACAATGACTTTCTAGGCGATTCTGTGCTTCCAACTTCGTGGCAACAGTTTGTGGAAGGCCCTTTCCTGTTTCAGCATGACAATGAGCAATCGGGGGAGAAGCGAGGTCCATACAGAAAAGGTTTGTCGAGATCTGTGTGGAAGAACTTGACTGGCCTGCACAGAGCCCTGACCTCAACCCCATAGAACACCTTTGGGATGAATTGGAAGGCCGACTGCGAGCCAGGCCTAATCGCCCAACATCAGTGCCCGACCTCACTAATGCTCTTGTGGCTGAATGGAAGCAAGTCCCCGCAGCAATGTTCCAACATCTAGTGGAAAGCCTTCCCAGAAGAGTGGAGGCTGTTATAGCAGCAAACGGGGGACCAACTCCATATTAATGGCCGTGATTTTTGAATGAGATGTTTGATGAGCAGGTGTCCACATACTTTTGGTCATGTAGTGTATCTTCATTTATTCTTTTGATTTGTATTGATCACTTCTGCTGCAATAAGAACAGTGTGTGATAATAATATAATACTATCTCAGTGTCCCTCCCTGTTCCTATAATAATATAATAATATAATACTATACACAGTGTCCCTCCCTGTTCCTATAATAATATAATAATATAATACTATACACAGTGTCCCTCCCTGTTCCTATAATAATATAATTATATAATACTATACACAGTGTCCCTCCCTGTTCCTATAATAATATAATAATATAATACTATGCACAGTGTCCCTCCCTGTTCCTATAATAATATAATAATATAATAATATAATACTATAGACAGAGTCCCTCCCTGTTCCTATAATAATATAATAATATAATACTATACACAGTGTCCCTCCCTGTTCCTATAATAATATTATAATATAATACTATGCACAGTGTCCCTCCCTGTTCCTATAATAATATAATAATATAATACTATCTCAGTGTCCCTCCCTGTTCCTATAATAATATAATAATATAATAATATAATAATATACACAGTGTCCCTCCCTGTTCCTATATTAATATAATAATATCTCAGTGTCCCTCCCTGTTCCTATAATAATATAATAATATAATACTATCTCAGTGTCCCTCCCTGTTCCTATAATAATATAATACTATAGACAGTTTCCCTCCCTGTTCCTATAATAATATAATAATATAATACTATACACAGTGTCCCTCCCTGTTCCTATAATAATATAATTATATAATAATATCTCAGTGTCCCTCCCTGTTCCTATAATAATATAAAAATATAATACTATACACAGTGTCCCTCCCTGTTCCTATAATAATATAATAATATAATACTATACACAGTGTCCCTCCCTGTTCCTATAATAATATAATACTATACAGAGTGTCCCTCCCTGTTCCTGTAATAATATAA